AGCAAAAAGGAACCCCAAATCCAAAGCTGCAATCCTGGAAGATCAAGTCTGAGCCGTCCCTGAGAGAATCCCCAGTTTTCCTGTCAATCCTCATTAACATACTGATCATGATGAGATATGAGATGGAATATTTCATTGGCAGAGCCAAATGATGATTCTGGGATTTGCTAATTACTACACTTCCCCCCCTCCCCCAGTTCCATTGCATTTGCAAACTGGCAAAACACGATGACCTTGAACTTCCAGCAAGAACTAAAAACATCAGTATGGTCTCAACGTTCTTCTCATCCCAAATCCCACCCTGAAACCAAACCACAGCGCTTTCTGGGTACTGAGAAGAAAATTATCTCTATCCCAGTCAAAACCAGGACACCTCGTTAGTCCCTGGAATGTTTTCTTTGGTTTTTAGTTAACACGAGAACTTTCAATTAAAGAATTTGAGATTCAGTTTGACAAAAACTCCATTTTCTGACAAAGAACCTAATGCCATGAAAACATTCTGACCATGGCCTAATAAAACCAGGATCTGCAAAGCTCAACCTTGAGGTGCTGGAAGGGAAACCAAGTTACTTTTACAACTTGTTTGAGTCTCTGGGTCCATGGCAAGGGGGTGGTGGTCTTTGAGAAGACAAGACTAGATGGGCCAGTCTGGTTCTCATGCCTCAGATCCCATTTTCTGCAGCTGATATCCAGGAGGAACATTGGAGAAGGGTGAAGTGATACTTCTGAATTGTCTTCCAGCCCTTGGTGAACTGTGGTTGAGGGATTTTAAAGACAGCATCTGTCTTCTCCATTGAGGAGCAATTTGAGCTGGTGATGTCCTGGGCTGAAAGTCATGTTACTTCTCCCTTGAGCCAACTAATCTGAGTCTTTTCCACTCTGTTCATTTAAAGCTCTGCTGGCCATCCATGTCATGGTGGAGGTGACACAAACAGCTCCACCGGTACCTGCTTCCAGGTGCCTCTGAGCCCTGAGCAAGAAATGCTCCGTGCAAAACCAGGACGTCAGAACTGATGTCTACACCCATGACCACCACCTGCAAGAACTGGGATTCATCTCAATAACTTTACATGATCAGGGTGGTGACTTCTCTGCTCTGGAGAATGTCAACCCAAGTGCAGAAGGTTGGTGCTTCTTTCTGAAGATGGGATTCACCCCACCAGGGATGCTCAGCTCACGGATGAAGGTGCTTCATGTTGGGTGTCTACATACACATGTCCCCACATGAGCTGGATATTAAAGATAAAGAGTCAATTCCACATACTCTGTCCCCTGCTATGCTCAGGGTCTCAGTTCAGCTGACACCTAGTGCCACCCAAAATACTCTGGAGCATCACAGACATCCACAAAAGCCTGGCAGATATACAAGAGGGACTACACGGGACACCTGGAAGCCAGCCAGGATGCCCCAGGACATCTCGGATAGAATCATAGAATCTCAGAACGTTGTGAGTTGGACCCACCAGGCTGATGGAGTCCAACTCCTGTCCCTGCACAGGACAATCCCAACATTCACACCATGTCCCTCAGGGCCTTGGCCAAATGCTACTGGAATCTTGTCAGGCTTGGTGCCATCAGCACCTCCCTGGGGAGCCTGTTCCAGTGCTCCACCACCCTCTGGGTGCCTGAAGAACCTTTTCCTCATGGCCAACCTCACCTCCCCTGCCACATCTTCCTGCCATGTCCTCTGCTCCTAGCATTGGTTGGTGGCCAGAGAGAAGAGATCAGCGCCTGCCCCTCCTCTTCCCCTTGGGAGGAAGTTCTAGACCCCCAGGAGATCTCCTCTCAGTCTCCTCTTCTCCAGGCTGAACAAACCCAGTGCCTTCAGCCTCTCCTCACACCCTTCCCCTCTAAACCCTTTCCCAATGCTGTGTCCCTCCTCTGGACACTCTCCAGCAGCTTTAGATCCTTTTTCTCCTGTGGTGCCCAAACTGCCCCCAGTGCTGGAGGTGAGGCTCACAGCTCTGTGCAGACAACTCAGCTGAGCCCCTTTGGTCGGTGATGGAGGGAGATAGAGAGAGCTGCTCTTCTCCACTTAAAACCAGGATGATCTGCCCTCTGCAGAAGTCTCTTAGGACTTCCTGAGACCTGAAGTATGGATGGCTGGTGCCAGATGAAATAAACCCCACCTGACATATCCCAGTTCAAAACATCTTTAGGTTCTCCAGGATTATTTTCATCCCCTTTCCTTTGTAAGACAAGACCCACATCAGTAGTTTGGGAGAAGAAAAGCTTTCTGCTGTTGTCTACCCTGACCATTGCTGGAGATCCAGCTTCAGTGTCTGAGTGTGAGATATAATCTAATGTGAGCCCGGAAAAATATATATAATTTCTGTATTTCTTTAAAAAAAAACTCAGTTGAACTGAAGATCATCCCTCAACCACAACATCTTGAAGTGCAGAGCTGTGCTAATGAACCTCACCACTAATAAACCACCATGCTCAGCTGTGAAACTGATGTTCTGCAGAAGTTTCCACCTTCAGAAGAAGATCTGAATCTAGGATTGGGGCTGTTCAGCCTGGAGAAGAGAAGGCTCCAGGGAGACCTTCTAGTGGCCTCCCAGTACCTGAAGGGGCTCCAGGAAGGGTGAAGAGGGACTTTTCCTAAGGGCAGTTAATGACAAAACAAGGGGAAATGGGTTTAAGCTGAAAGAGGGGAGGTTTAGATGAGATATTAGGAAGAAGTTATTCACTGGAACAGGTTGCCCAAGGAAGCTGTGGCTGCTCCTCCCTGGAAGTGTTCAAGGCCAGGCTGGATGAGGCTTTGAGCAACCTGGTCTAGTGGAAGGTGTCCCTGCTGCTGGCAGGGGGGTTGGAACTGGATGAGCTTGAAGGTCCCTTCCAATCCAAACCATTCCATGATTCTATGATTATTTATCCAGTTCTGCATTATGGTTTCATGAAAATGATGTTGGTTTTGGTGGTGTCCTCCTTCCTCCACCCTGTGCACTGAACTTGGTGTTTCTCTACTTTCTCTCTCAGAGGTGAAACACGCCAAGAACTGTCCCATCGATTGTGCTTCTGTTTACTACAACGGGCTCCACCGCTCTGGTGTCTACAGCATCATGCCCTTGGTTGGAGGGATGCCTATTGAAGTACTGTGTGAGATGGACACTGAAGGTATTGTAAAGAGGCACCTACAACATCTTCCAGCAGAGTTTTGGGTGGTATTTGTCTAATTTAAGAGTTGTATCTTATATTTGAGTTATTCTCAGGCTACTTCATAAGTGAGAGCAACATCTCCAGAAGGTTTCCTCTCCAGGGAATTCATCCTCTCTGTTGGCTGTAGAAGGGGTTTGGATGAATAGTTCAAACCAGACGTTATGGGTGGAATTCAGTTGCCTAAATACAGCTATTTAGTGCTTTTTGAGATGTCCTCATGCATCTGAGATATTTACAACACCCTTCCCCAATGTTGTGTCCCTCCTCTGGACACTCTCCAGGAGCTTTAGATCCTTTTTCTTCTGTGGTGCCCAAAACTGCACCCAATGCTCAGGAGGAAGGTGCATGCTGGATATGACACAGGGCTTAGGGATAAAGAAGCTCTTCTGGAGTAGCAGCTGGTCACTGGGAGGTACCTGGAGGATCTCTGGATAGTTGAGGGCTTATGTATGGACAACCACTAATTTTAACTGTGCTGAAGTGAAGATGGGGGAGATAGATCCTCTTCCATAGATATTTTGGAGTCTAAATGAGGGAACAGGTGACCTTCCATCCCCTTGCTGTCTAAATATCTCTACAAAGGACACAACTGTCGTCCCAAGGCACAAACTTCCCAACAAAATCACTTTGTGACACTTGAATTTTGGAAGAATAATGACAATTGTCAGTAGATTGTCAATCCCATGTCCCATGGGTCTACTCTAGCCCAGATGGATGTGTCATCCACCATCCCATGCTGGAGGGAAAGGTTCAGCTCCCCACGTGTAGGCATCTCACCTATCAGAGGATCTACAGGTGATTGTAGCTTGAGGGACACACGTGCTGGTTAAGAAACAGGTTGTTCAGCCAATGTGGACACTGTGAGGTCATGACTCTTATTTCCATGGACATCAACAGAGTCTTGGACACTGTAGAGTGACAGGTTGTACAAACAGCCAAGAAAAAAAGTGACCCCAGTCCCCTCGTCTCCTCCTCAAGCATCAAATATTGGAATAAAGAGAGAGGAGAGAGGGATTGGGACAGATGGGAGAGCAGATGGAGCCGGTGAGACAATAGTAGGAGAGCTCCTGTGTCTCCGTGGTGCTGCAGGAACAGTACATGATAATCTCCAAGCTCCAGGATCTCGAGTTTATTCCAATCCCAAAATATTTGCCTCCCCAAAAACCCACCAGCTCCTTCTCATTTTAAACCACCTGAAGATATGGGACAGTCAACAGGGGAACATCATCATGAACCAACATGGGAGAGGTGGGAGCTATGGTGGGCATCACGTTTTATCCCTGTGCAGCAACCAACACTGTATTTTACAACTTGGTGGGAGGAGGCATGACCAGGAGACACCTTGCTGAGCTGCAGATGGATCCTCAGAGGTGACACCACTAAGGGGGTCTGTCTGGGATCCCTTGGATGCTCCCTGGAGACTCATTTTGTGATCTTTCTCTGGCAGGTGGGGGTTGGACAGTCATCCAGAGGCGTCAGGATGGCTCAGTTGACTTCAACAGAACCTGGAATGAGTACAAGGAAGGGTTTGGGGACCTCAATGGTGAGTTCTGGCTGGGCAATGAGAACATCCACAAGATGACAAGCCAAGGGGACTATTCTCTGCGCATTGACCTGGAGGACTGGAACAACAAGCACAAGCACGCCTTCTACCAGATCTTCAGGTAGAAAGTGGGATGACCTCCCCTGGTTCTCATAAACACAACTGGTTCAATATCAGGAGACCTTCAGGCATGGGAACCTCATTGAGATCAGAGTGACTCTATTGACAGAGCTTTCCAGACTAGGTCCAGGCTGTCTGTCCTGTCTTCCCCACCTGGATTTGACCACCAATTTTTGCTCCAGGTTGAAGCCTGGGTGTGAGGTAGTGAATGTGCAGTGTCATTTGGCCGTGGCCAACATCTACAGCCTCAGGGGAAGGAGCTGTAGGGCCCACTGGACGGTCTCCAACTTCTTAGGGTACTTTTTCTGCCAAAATTATTGAGCTTTATGACAAAAGAGCTGCTCAGGGAAGTGGTTGAGACATCATCCCTGGAGGTATTTAGAAGAGGTGTAGATGAGGTGCTGAGGGACATGGTTTAGAGGTGGACTTGGCAGTGTTAGTTTTTCGGTTGGACTTGATGATGATCTTAAAGATCTTTTCCAACCAAAACAAGTCTATGATAAAACGAGGGGGTTGTATCCCATGGTCTTGTTGGGCAGGTCCTCCAGCATGTCCCTGGTTTAGAGTTGTGTTTCCACTTTACTCATGGTTTGTACTTGCTGGACTTGTTGTCATGTCCTTCAATGTCTATAGATCTTCCTCATGGTGTTTATTCATCCATACCACATCACCCACATCCTTTCTTAATCAGGGGTGACCAAATCTGTCCCAGATGAACCCCTTCCTGTCTCTAACTGGAAGTGACTGTTGAGCAAACCACACATGGGGTGAAACCCAAGGGAACACTGGACCTTATGGACACTTGAAGCTTGAGGGCTTCAGGTAGACCCCAAAATTGTTGGAACTACTGGGAAAAAAAAATTCCCATTGCCTGAGTGTGCCATGGAGCATCCTCTGCCAGCAGATGTGTGCTCTGAGTGGTCACCTTGGCTTTTCTCCTCAGACATCATGTGCCATGGCAGTGACCTTCAGCCTTTGCTAGCCCAAGGGCAGATTACCAATGAGCTCAGTCTAGGTGAAGAGCTGGATGGTTGTTACGTGGAGAGGAGGTGGTGCTGCTGTGTAATTAGAGGGATTGTCTTGCCAAAGCTCCTCAAGTCCTTTCTTGTGGTTTTAGAGTCATGGTCTACTCAGTTCAACCCTAGAATAAGTTCCCTGAGTCATGATAAAGTCATGCAGGTCCCACAGAAAGGAGAAATCCAACATCTTTGGCTTCTAGAGATGATGAATCATAGCAAGGAACCTGGCCAGAGCAGCTCCATGATTGCTAGGTGTCTACACCAAGAATGCAGTCACCAGGTTGGAAAGGAGGTTCAAAGACTCTCCATTAATGAGTCCCACCTTTGTTGCTTGTAGCATTGAGGACGAGGCCAACTATTACCGCCTGCACGTTGATGGGTTCAGTGGGACGGTGGAGGATTCCTTCGCCTGGTACCACAACAAGAGAAGCTTCAGCACACCCGACTCGGGGAACATCTGTGCTGAGATTTCCCATGGAGGCTGGTGGTACCACCAGTGCTTTTTCTCCAACCTCAATGGGGTGTACTACAAGGTAAGGTGTGGAGATGAGGGCATAAGGTGCTTTTTCTCCAACTAGTGCTTCTTCTCCAACCTCAACAGGGTTTACTACAAAGTAAAGTGGAAGGATGAAGATGGTCCTCACATCTTAACAGTCCTTCCTGACTTGACCAACCTCTGCTCTCCAAGGAGGGAAATAAATGAGTGCTGGGCACCAAAGCAGTCCAACCTTTTCAGTCCCATGGGCCAGAAATTAGTGTGGAGACACCTCTGCACACTAGGACCACATGGTGGAAACCTGTGGTAGAGGTGACTCACACAGCCTGAGGTGGATGGACACCAGCTCCATGGGGACCATTTGCAAAAGCTTTACGTGCTCTTTTCACCACATGGTCATTAAGTTCTTTGCTCTGGTGTTTCAGAACAATAGGCTTCCCAATGTTCCCATGGGAATGATATCTCCATGAGTTTCTTCTCCTTGACCATCCTCCTTTCTCTGCATCACAGGGTGGTCGATACTCCATTAAAAACAGGAAGATCCTGGGGCCAGATGGTATCGTGTGGTACTCATGGAAGGACACAGACTACTACTCCTTGAGGAAGGTGGTTATGATGATTCGCCCACGGACTTTCCGGCCTCATCTCTCCCCATGAAGGAGCTTGAGATGTTCTTCATTTCACCTCACATTGAACATGGGGAACAGAAATAGTTTGCTGGGAGCAAAAACTGATGTTGGAGATCCTGGAAGGACCAAGCCATCATGTCTATTGCTGCCTGTTTGCTTTTGAGAGAACTGGACCAACCAAGAGAGGTGTCAAGACCTTCAGCAAATATTTGGATGGTGAAAGGTCTCCTCAAAAGGTGGAGGTGATTCTGAGAAGGGCTTTGCAAAGACAAGCATGTGGCTTACTGTTTCACCAGGTAGCAGCAGTTCTTGGCAGGTTTGGTCATCATCAAAGCTTGAGACTAAATCCAGTTGACTGGGTGATGGGAGTCAATCAGACCTTACATTGAATGGAGATGTTGAGAGCTTCTGGCTACCAACCCAATGGTATTCTAGAGGGAAGGAAAGAACCAGCAATCCTGTCTTGAGTTTCCCACATTGGGAAACGCCATAAGATGAGCATCTCTCTTGGTCTCAGCAGAGTTTCTCTGTTCTCATCACCATGTATTATTTGGTACTGAAAGTCCACCACCACCACCACAGAGAAGGTCCACCACCACCACAGGGATGTGCTAAGGTGGCTCTAAGGTGCTGAGATGATCCTGAGGAAAGTCAGGGGACTCAGCGTGCACTGCCCAGAGACAGTGTCATGAGCAAATGAGGAGGGAGGTCTCCAGTGACCCTCACCTTATAGAATCATGGAATGGTTTGGGTGGGAAGGGACCTTAAAGCTCATCCAGTCCCAACCCCCCTGCCAGCAGCAGGGACACCTTCC